TACAATTAACCTCCTTGTGGTTCGACCCCGGTCTTGCCGGGTTATTTATTACTTCGACACTCCTGCACTTGGGAGAAGACATCAACCTTTTAGTCGTGTCAAAGCACACAAATAATATGCTGCCATATACTTCTTTCTTCATATAAATTACATGTTTATCTTGAAAATACCTGTCAATTTTGGTATTCCAAGCACATGGAGCTTGCTTCAAACCATAGAGAGCTTTCTTCAACTTGTATACTTTGCCTTCATTTTCAGCATCAATGTATCCAAGTGGTTGCTCAACATAGATCTCTTCTTCCAAGAAGCCATTTAGAAATGCTGACTTCACATCGAGCTGATAGATCTTCCATCTATATTTTGTTGCTAGTGAGATCATTAGTTTGATTGTCTCTAGCCGGGCTACTGGAGCAAACACTACTTCATAGTCAATGTTGTTACTCAATTTTGGACCCCACGTGCTAGAGATGGTGTATACCCGTTTTGAACCAAGTGCTAGAAAATTAACAAAAGCGGAGGAGAAAGAAAGATTTTTTTCGAACCCTGTTTCAGCCATCTCCTGCTCTCTTTATCCTTCCCTACTGCTACCGAAATTGTCAGGATTCTTAAGCGAATTAGGATTCTTTATAATGCTAAATTCATTCCTCTTTTACATGGGCTATAAGGTTGAAATAAATCCCTTGAAAGTGGCACTAGAAAACCTAGTTCTACTGTTGCCGCAATTTTTTTGTTCCAACTTAGACCCTTGCCGCAATTTTTTGTTCCAACTTAGACCCTGATTCTGACTTGGGTTCGTGCAATGTCTGACCATCCCAACTATATTCTATCACTCATGACATGTTGAAGAATGTACCTACACCTTGATTGGGTCCTAGGGCTCATTGTTCTTATGGCAGGCTCTTAGTCGAGGATGCTTGGCATTGTCAGTTTCCTGAATTTAGATCGGGAGACCTTTTTGACCAACCAGATTGTGGCCTGATTCTGTCATATCTCACCTTGACTCCCAATGAAATCCATAGTACTGGATGCATAGATGAATTTGGGCTTTCAAATCAATGGATTTCGATATCAGAAGCTTAAGCTCTGCACATTTAAATATCTGACGTTAAATATCAGAAGCTGAAGCTTTGCACGTTTGAATATCTGACGTGAAAATAGAAAATTCTGCCGCAAGCAGGATTCTAACCCAAGTTTTGCACCGAAAAAAATTCTACTGCCATCATGATTTTTCTGGTTCATTCTTAGGGTACTCCCAGTCATATCAGGATGCTCGGCATTTGTCAGTTTTTGAATCAGGTCAGGAGACCCTTTTTGACCGACGAGATCGCGGCCCAATTCTATCCTATAAAATTACTATATCTTGCCCTAAATCCCTATCAAAGTTGTAATCTGACATGCATAGATGAATCTTGGCTTTTGAATCGATGGATTTCGATATCAGAAGCTCAAGCTCTGCACGTTTAAATATCTGACGTGAAAAATAGAGAATTCTGCCGTGAGCAGGATTCTAACCCAAGTTTTGCACCGAAAAAAATTCTACTGGCATCATGATTTTTCTGGTTCATTCTTAGGGTACTCCCAGTCATATTGGGATGCTCGGTTTTTGGAATCAGATCAGGAGACCCTTTTTGACCGACGAGATCGCGACCCGATTCTGTCCTATAAAATGATTATATCTTGCCTTAAATCCCTATCAAAGTTGTAATCCTACACGCATAGATGAATTTTAGTTTTTGAATTGCTCAATTTCGATATCAGAAGCTCAAGCTCTGCTCGTTTAAATCTTTGACGTGAAAATAGAGAATTCTGCCACGAGCAGGATTTTGACCCATGTTTGCGGGACTGATTCGAAGGATTTTTTCTGAACCTAGGACTGAATTGAAAAGTGTTAAAATGAGGGATTTAATTGAAGAAGGATATGGAAAGCTGGAGAGGGGGGCTGGATCATCACAAATGGAAGGATTTTTACCACACCGAAAAGGAAAATAAGACTTTGCAGCTGCACCCTCTATCTAATTTCTTTCCCTTTTTCTCTGCTGTTTTCCTTTCTCATCACATCTGATTATTGGAGCTGAAGACCACGTTTTTGTTGCCTCATTTCAAAGGGAGTAGCTGGCCCTATGGAAGGAAAGAAAAGAGCCACACCATCCTCCAAAACGGGAAAGAAATCAGACGTAAAGCACCACCATAAAATCAGAATAATTGCAGTTTCCTTTTGCGTTTTTTACTGCAAATCAGTAGGGATTTGTGTACTATGATTAATGCATTGAATCTTTCCTAAATAGAAATATGTTAGACTATATATAAGCCCCTCTAATGACCTAGGGCGGCAGAAGAAAAAGAGAGCAGAAAGG